TGTGGAGCGCGTGGAGCGCGTGTGCTGCGCGCAGACGGGGAGTGACGACTGTGGTACTGCCCCTTGTGTAATAGTGACGACCGAGAAAGTAGCAGTATCTTCATATACATCCTGCAGGTCATTTAGCTGGTGCTGCAAGAACTGCTCTGTGTGTGTGGGGCAGAGTATTTTTGTGATATTTCTTTTTTGCTGGTATCCCTTTTTCCCCAGTAATGTAGGAGAATAAAATGTAGATCACCACTGCAGTTTAATAATCATTTTCTTTTGCTTTCAAAAGCCTGTGTTCTTTCAATAAAAACCCCAAAGGGCAATATACTTTCATCCCATTTAAGATTTATAAAGTGTGTCAAATGGCTGATATGAAATCACTTACACAGATCACTGTTGTGGCTTTCTATTCTTTCTCATCTCAGGTATTTCTGGAGACAAGGTAGAGATAGACCCCGTTACTAATCAGAAGGCCAGCACTAAGTTTTGGATTAAGCAGAAACCCATTTCAATCGATTCTGAACTCCTCTGTGCCTGTGACCTTGCGGAAGAAAAAAGCCCAAGTGAGTAGTCCTTTTTATTTATGTTCTCTCTTCTCTCCCTCTCTGTGCTACATGCCCAAAGAATTATTGCTACCATGTCCTTTTCTTTCTATAGGTGTATTTTATTCATTATAGGATGTTTTTAATCTGACTTTATTCTATTATATCAAACATTTTGTATACAGATACGCATTTTTGAGTGTCCTTTTATTGCTGCTTACAACTAATTGCATCGTTATGAGTGTTTCTCAACAACGATCAGTAACTGCTAATAACATCATCCCAAAAAAATGCTGTCGTATACAGATACGCATTTTATGAGTGTCCTTTTATTGCTGCTTGCAGCTAATTGCATCGTTACGAGTGTTTCTCAACAACGATCAGTAACTGCTAATAACATCATCCCCAAAAAATGCTGTTTTTACCTGTGTAGTGTCTAACCAAGACAGGGGTGTAAGGGAGACGAGCCCCAGCAAAAAGACCCAGCGTCTCCCAGGGGCATCAAAACATAACGTGGCGCTGCCAAAAACTGCACGCGTGGTTCACGCACGTGGGCAGGTTTCCTTAGGCTCCGCGGCCTCCCCGCGAGGGCCCCGCAGCAACGCGAGGAGCGGGGTCACCGCGGAAGGACGCGCAGGCTCGGCCGGGGTCACCTTTATGACGCTGAGGTTTTTTATTTGCTCGTGCTCACGTGACCGCTCATAAATTCATTCTGAGTTTCTTATGAAATGAGCGATCATCATAATTCTGAGAGCATAAAAGAAGTCTCCCGGAAATCTGCCGGCCTCCTTCACATTCACTAAAGCTGTTCCCAAAGTCATTATTTTAGGTCAGCACAAAAGACTTTGTGTGACATCCCAGAATGATGCATTTGGGGGAAGTCTTAACAGCAGATCACTATCTGTTGAATTTTAAATGGAAAAAAAAGTTATTTCAGTAGCATAAAGGAAAGAAAGTCACTGTATTTCACAAGTTTTGTCTGTGATTTTTATCAGCATAGTGATATATGTTTGTAGCAGAGTTTACATCAAAAATTATTCCTGGATCTTCCTTGAATGAATTATTGCAAAGAGAGGCTGAGTAAAGATAAGCTCTTGGAGTTTTGCAATATATTTTGTTTCCCTGTTTTTATCTCTTGTAACACAAATACGCTCCATCTAGTCTTTCAAAGGTGTCCAGCAACGTGTAACAGTGGTTGTACCACTACAGTGAGCAAAAACATGCTGTATTTTTTATTGAAGTGTCCACTTTCCATAGACATCAGCAATTAAAGTATAATACAGTTGAGTACCGCTTTGCTAGGCTGCCTTGTTCCATTTTTGAAGAGAGGTAAAGGATTTACAGAGCCTCCAAATATGACCTCTGTTTGCAGGTAAGGCAGGGGTGCTTTGTGGAAGGATTTAGTCATTCTGGAACTGAAGGTTTATGCAAAACTGGTTCTAACGTACGTGGTAGTCAACACAGCTACATATTTGATTTGCTCTTACTGCATTTGGAGGAGTAAAGAGATTTCAGAGTGTTTACTGCTGCTTTCCTGCACTAAAAATAGAATCTGTGTCTAAATGTAGCAGAGCTCCTAAAGCCTCTTTTCTGTTGAAGTTCTGGGTGAAGGGGCAGGTTCGAGCAGGGAAGCTTTGGTGAAGTTGGTGTGTTCACAACTCACGTTTTAAAATATTTACAGATGGACGTGGAGCCACCCTAGTGGAAGCTGTAACTTCCCTTTGTTGTAAGTTAACAGAACTTAGAGTTGCATTTAGTGAAAGTGGAAAATGAAAATGGAAAGCTTTGGCATCTAATTTGCCATTATTATGGGTATGGCAGGCAGGAACGGCTGATGATTTTTGCTTGCCCTTGCAGTAGGACAGGGTTAGCATTCGGATTTTTATTTGTAAATTAAATCAGACTCCTTGAATTTAGACAGAGAGAAGAGGTAATGGCCTTGCTACCTAAATCAAATGCCATTAGAAGCTGAAAACACTGTATACAAACTGCTTGTTTAAATCAGGTTCAGTCTGATTATCACAAAAGATTCCAAACATTTCGAATCTTGAAAGGAAGCATCCTATCATTGAGAAATAAGATTTAAACCTTAATAAAGTAGTTGTCATTTTTATAGCTGAAAAGAGCTTTGTATCTCAATTAAGTGTACATAATATAAAGTCTTAAGGAAGCAACATAATAGGTTTAATACAATTATATCCCTTTGCAATAGTGTAATTTAAAGGAAATCAGATTCTGTTAATGTCTCTTACGTTACTTGGACAAGGGAGGAACTCCAGTGTCACCGAGCGCCGCGCCGCTGCTGCTGGCGCCGTGGCCGAGGTGCGCGCGG